TAAATAGCACGAAACAACTGAGCAGAATATCTAGCACTTTTGTAAAAGCAAGTTTGGTTCAACTACAGAATTTATTGTTTAATTTTTAATCCCAGTGATTTATCTAAATTCCATTCTCATCTAAATTCCATTCTCATTTCTTTAATTTTTAAAAGTAAGGTACAGGTCCAAAAGTAAGATTGGATTTAGTCAGCAAAACAAGCAGTTTAAAGAATTGCATCCAGCTGATGCAGTGACTACAGTCATGTTGACTAGAGTTATTTCACTCCTCTGCTGTTAGCATCACAGCAGCTTGCCTCCAGAACAGGCTACTTGGACATTACTGTTCCTAAGAGCATGATAGCCATTTGAATTGTGCCCTAAATTCCAAGCAACATAGCAGGGGGAAGATATGACAGAGCTAACAAATCTGGTTTTGGCTTGAGGTTAGAACAAATTCTTCTACCATATGCACTAAAAATATTAACTTCAAAAATCATCTATGTTCCATTTCAAGGCTAAATTTATGCTGGAGCTCCAGAAAAGCAGGATTTTAAGTGAAGTACTGAGCTGCTTTGCAAAGAGTCTGCCCCTTGCACTGCCCTCTAAGTCATTCTGATGGAAACCCCTGGGAATTATAGGTTTATCCCTCTTGGCCTGAATTTCAAAGAAGAATAACACTAGCACATCTCTCAAAGCTAATATTCCTTGCTGGAGTGTATAGATTTTCAGCTGTCAGTTTTATATTAGTTTCTGTATGTTCAGCAGCAGTTCTACAACTACTGCTGCCCTTTCATCCTTGTTGGTCAGAAGCTGAAGACTACACGTGTCTTGATCTTTGTAGCTGTGTGTCAGGTCTCATTTCAGACAGACACAATAGGCTGAGTCACCCATCTGCAGAGTGGAAACCATAGGATGAGGTGTTGACAATTTTTCTGCTACTGAAATCAAAGGAGAGAAGTGGTATGGTTTCTACATTTTCTGGCACAGGCAGACACTGACCTAGTCTGTCCATTGTCTCTGTCATTCACGTAGAGACCTGAGGTTTCCTGGAAGATAAGAAATATACTCCAGTTCTTTTATCTTTCTTATGGTGTCTTTGTGCTGTTGTGGGAAAGGAACGATGTGCACATCATTTTCTGCAATGCATTAGTTTGAACCAGTGTAGCTTGCCTACACAGCTTTCCACTTGTACAATTAACAATTTAGAGGTTGGTGGGAAAGAAATTGTGCAACTCGGCATCATGTAGTATTAACTGAATTTTCTTTAATAATCACAAAGTCTTAACAATCACTGTCTTAAACAAAGACAGGAGTTTTATTGCTTAGAAAGACTAAAAACCCTTCATAAATCAAAAGAGAAAATAAAAATACCATTTTTTAATTTAATAATAAGCATCAAATTAAAATTATGTGGTAAGCAGGTGCTTTTCATAGTATGTTTCCTCTTTGTGTAACTGAGTTAGTCTTTTCATTATTTTTTGAGAATTCAGGAGGATTAAATGTCACATAAAATTATAACTGTAAAATATGAATAAAGGAATGCTGTGAGATAAAGGTGAAACTTAAAAAGGAGAGACAACAAACTGTAGTGCATGAAAGAAAAACATTTCATTCCTGGGAGACAGGACACAGAAATAAATATGTATCTAGATGACATTTCTTTGTATCTTATTCAAACAGAATAAAATTAAAATTATCTCACATGCCTATGGGCTGCCCTAATGTAAGGCAAAGAAATGTAGAAGGGATTATTTCATATATACATTTTCATTTACTTTCTAAGATACAAAAGCAACTCATTCTAGTTGCTGAGGAACCATTTGGTAAAATAAATCCTTAAGACATTTCCACTTAAATATTTTTCAGTCCCTTTCTGATATAAGTGAATTACTTTTACCAGGGGTGAATACAGCTACTTAGACTGACCTTGTAAAAACAGAGCCAGCTAAAATAAAAATATAATTTGTGAAGAAAAGCTATACATGAATTTTCCTCTTAGACCTTTCTATGCTGGAGAAACAGTGTCAATAGTGAAGGAAAGCATTTAGTACTAAAAAAAAAATAATTATTTAAAGCAGGGGTAAAAATCATGATCTCTCTAAGTAACTGTCAGTCCTTGTAACCTGGAGGTAAGATGAGTAAGAAAAAGATGAGTGATTTAGTCTAATTTTCTTAATGACACATACAGGAGGAAGGCTTTCAAGATCAGATACATTTTAAAGAAGCGATGAGACAAATAGGCCTTGTAAATTCATAATTGTACAATGTTCTACCACACTTGGCACTCAGTGGAAAAAACAGCAATGATCACCACTTTAAAAAGAAACATCTGGAAGCATGGCTACTGCTGTTTTGGTCCTGCAAACACTTTGATTTTTAAACCACAGCCTGATGGTCAGATCATTTACTCAGGACATGAGAGGACTGTGCTATCAGTTTTGAAACAAATGTCTTCCACTTCCCCAGACAGGGCAATAACCACTACGGTTATGGCTTTGATTCTTCTGTTTACATGGTCTCACTGTGCACCATAAAATGCAAGCTAGACAGCCACAAGAGAGTATGACACTGTGGCCAAAAATTAGAGGTGCTTGGATGGATTCAGGTTCTCAGGGTTATGTTAGTTCATACCTCAGGAGATTTGATGGGAAAATGCCAAATGCAACCCCCTCCTTTTTTCTTCTGTAATTTAAAATAGAACTGCATGCATTTTCCTAGCCAGAGACTCTGGAATTTGAATGTTTCTGCTCACCCTTTTCAAAGTATTGCAACTTGGGTAGAGTTTCACCCTTATGTAAGCTTTTTTTTTTTTTTTCTTTTTTTTTAACCTAGTTACTCTCCTACACAGCATGTCGATGTTTTTTGTAAACTTTTGTAAAATTTGTCTATTTCTTTTCCTGTCCTTCCTGTACAGAGAAACTGGCTATGGACAGGTGAATTCCTACTCCTGAAGGCCTAGGATCATCGAACTTAGGTCACTGTACCTGTCTGCTTTGGATCTGTCCCAAAATAATTTTGGGGAACTGCTGCCTTGATCTTGCAGACCTAACTGGTTATTCCACCATCAAACATGTAAGCATAGTCAGAGCTCCTACATGCTGCAAAATTTTCTGTCTCAGGCCACCTTCTTTTTCCTTAGTCTGTTTTTCACTGTGTGAAGTTACAGGTAGTAGAATAGAATTAGACAAGGCCATATGGGGAAACCTTTATTAATTGTAACTTCTTTATGAAATCAAATTGGATCTTTCTCTGTAAGTAGAAGACTTTGAAGCACTCATTTGTATTTTGTTCAGCTCTTCTTTTGTGAGCATTACCCCTCTCTACTATGTCAATGTGCAGCTGGGAATTCACTCCCACTGAATTGAATGACTAAAAACAAGACTTCAGGGAAAAATGTTCTGCTGGAAAATACAGTAGAACATCTACAGAGCCATTCAGCTAATAAATGTTGGTTCCCTACGGTGCAGTCAGGGGGAACTGTGGGCTCCTGCAAGGTTTCTATAAAGCAAACCAGATGCCTGTTTGTTCAGGAATGCTCAGTTGTTGTCTGACCTGTCCTCACAATGGCTGAAAGAGAGGAAAAATGCAGCTGAGTTTTATGGAGTTGTTACAACAAAAATTTAATAACCTCTTAAAACATTTTTAAAGTATACCTTTCACTTGTTCAGCCAAACATTACGATACTCACTCTTTGAAGCATAATTATATATAATGAATAGCCCTGCCACCTGCATGTATTCTGATACAACTCCCTCATATTAACCTTTTGTTTAGTCACTTTAATTATGCAGGTGACATAGGTTATTACTAGGATCATCTGTCTGGGTTGACCACAGAGTTTTGCTTAAATCCTGGACATATATAATATTTTCCTAAATTCCTTGACATTTGCTGCAAATCTCTCAATTTTTGTCAAGAAAATTGCTGCGGTTAGATTCAGCCATTACCCTCATATTGAAAGCCTGCTTTGTAATGTTACCATTTGTCCCTTATAATAGAAGATAGATCCGGCTTTTATACTCAACCTGCAATTTTTGATAAAAGAATATCACTATTCATACATTGAAGAGTTCTGACATACTAATAATTACCTCTCCTTCTCGTAAGATGTTACTTTGCTCCAGTATAAGAAGAAAAAAACCAAGAAATACTTTAATCAATAGTTTCATTCTATATGCAGATTAAAAAAAAAATATTTTGAAACATTTGCAGTTACTCAAACTGTAAATCTAGATCATTTAGATGGATACTTCCTAATGTTTTGCCCCTGTCACTAATTTCAGGTTACTGGAATCCTTCAAAGAATGTTTTACTTTATTTTATTTTTATTTTTTACATCACTGGGAGGATTTTCCTGGTAGGACTCTCTTTCAAAGTCCTCTCATTTTAAGGGAAATGGCAATTTCCAAATACTCATATCACAAGGAAAATGAAAATTTAATACATATCTGTGTCTTCCTCCTCATAGATCCTCTGTTACCTCAGATCGTAACATCAGACAGAACAGTTGATTTGTCCTTTTGTGAGTTTATGTGTATGTGCCTTGAAATGGCATAGCTGCTTTACACTTTCCATTCTCTTTGATGAAGCAAGATATCAAGGAAGATGATAAGTACAATATATGATAGCTAGAAAATGCCAATTTTATTTTACATAAAATCACATAAATCACTTAATTAAGTTATCCTTGTGTTTCCTTTGTGCTCTGCCATATTGTTCTCCTGCATATGTGAACACAGGGAAGACTTATGTTGAAATTTTGTGTAAAGGTAAACTGTCACTGGTATTTAAGTTTATTGATGACTTCAGATTTACAGAGAACTGTTGATTATCAATGCAAATAAAGACGAAAGAATCTCTTCCTCTGAAAATCATGTATATTTCAAAGATTCTTTTGATAAAATAGAAGATTCATTTTGGAAATTTATTCTTGTACCACTTCAAGGGATTTTTGTACACCCTGTATAGTTGTAATCCCTGCAAAAGTACTAATTGGATAATACATTACACAAACTTACAGCTTTCCAGCTGCATTATACATGTTTGCACATCCATTGGAAAATTTTTGAGATCCATCGGACAGGACAGTATTAAAGTCAACCTGAAAGAACACAAAACGCTCATTAAAAATATACCACCAAAATGCCATAGAACTGTGCAGGAAGAATGCATGAATACATTAGAAGTAAATAGAAATAGAACACATTTTCATTAGAAAGCTCTCAAAAAGGATGCATATTAGCTGAACCCATTTAACTCACTTAGCCTAGTATGACAATACAGAAAAAAGTACTACAGACTTTCAGAGAAACAAAAATTTCAGTAGGGTTGCCTAACTTTATGAGAAGTCTAAAAGAATGCAGCAGCAGAGGCTTTTTTGTACTACAGCAGAATAAGAATTTCATAGCATATGTCAGCCGCAAATCATGGTGGCAAAGTAATTTATGTAATTTATGTTTTGTCCTAAAATAAGGTACTTAAAATATCAACACAAAGGTTTAAGATAGCACTTTATCATTTACATGGTAAACTGAAATATGCCTGTAATTTTGAACTGCAGCTGTGGTATATGTTAGTCCTGATACTTCCCATGAAACACTTTGCAACTTATGGTCAAAAGAGGTTGTTTTATGTTTTATATAAATACAATAATTTATCTTCAGAGTGATACATCTCAATGGAATGAGAAAGAAGAACATAAGAGATAAAGGCACATGCTTTCCCTCACTGGCCATTTTTAGGTATCCATTCATCATTCATGGACGTGACTGCACCTTCATTAATCAATTCAGTTGATAGAACGTCCTACGAAAACCTGAGGAACTTGGATTCAAGACTGTACATATAAGGCTTTTCTAGCATGGGAATCCTCTAATCCTCCTCTCTTAAACCCATTCGTTCCCCTGTTTTTGGCACTGGGGATATATATATATATATAGGTAACTTTTACCCATTCTTTTTTTTCCTGGCCAAACCTTCTTGATTCATTGTTGCTATAATTTCTGTTTAGCCTGCAAGTGACAGAGCTGCAGGGTAAGCAACTGAGGAGGGAAGTCAGACCCAGGCTCTATTCCCATGCTATTAAAAAAAGTTCCAATTGCAAAATCTGACTAGTAGGCTGGTAATAGAGCAAGTCATCTCAGAGAAGAAGCACCTGGACTTTGTTCTTCAGTAAATATTTTAGTATTTTATATTGAGTATTCATTGATTAGGAACTCTCCGCTTCCATTTCTTGTCTGAATTGTTCCAATGCAATCAGGGGAGGAGACATTAGGGAATGAAAGGAAAAAGCAAATTTAGAAAAATTTTTTTTCCTTTTAATATCAGCACATTAGCAATTAGCATGTCTCCTCTTATCAAAAACTTTACCTGACTGAAATGCACATAACAACTAAACTACATGCCAATGGTATGATTTTAAATTTGTTTCAGAAATTGTAATAGTCCTTAATTAAATCATGGCAACATAAACTTTCTGGCTTCATAAGAAACATAGGAACTATGTGGTATCTGCTTTCATCACATTCAGTGTTTTCTTTTGTAATTTAATATTATAATATTTCTCACATTTGATGTTTTTTTCCCCCATTTCATGTGGCCACAAAGTTGGTCTGAATTCTATTGAAGCTGCAATGCAAACTTGCCTCAGTTGAGTGGTGTGGTCTATACCCAGCTGCCAGTGACTCTTGGAGTGACTTAGACAATCTGGAGATAATTGACTTAGATCTACTTTCTACTTGAATCCAGAGAAGGAATCCTTTTAATTTTCTTTCTGTCTGTTTCTAGTGACTAGAATACAGGTTGTGACACTGAAGACTCACTGTGTTCCTAGAGTGGCAGACAAACCTCCTTTTGCATATGAAATGCTCATAAGAACTTTCAGCCAATCCTCTCTCCCTGTGTAAGCTTGAAAAGGTGCTGCCCACTTGTCTTGGAGGGAGGGAGGAAAGAGACTGTCTTACCACTAATACATCCATACAAATCACAAACATTTGCTTTTTCTCTGGTATATAAACTAGTCCTGATACCTCTTTGAAGAGTCTGATTACCCATTAATCTGGTGTCATAAAAGTATGCAAAGTAAACCACTACGAGGACAATAGTATATTTGTTTTGAAAAGTGTAACATTTCACACTGCTTCAATATCAAATCTATATCATGTCTAGTAGGGCATTAGCATACTTATATCCAAATGTGTTTCTCATTAGATTGGGTTTTTGAAGACAGTAGAATGCCTACTGATACCAGTTAAATAAAAGAACTGTGGTAAGAATAACAGAGAAAAGAACTATGATAACTAGATTTTGTCAATACTTATGATTGCTGCTTATAGCTTCTTAACCCTTTTCAAAAGTTTACTTTCCACTTTTCTCTCCAACTCCAGCAGAAAGTGACTAATCTTTAAATGCCATACTTCCTCAAACAGGTCATGTTTCCATGTTGAAGTGCAACTGCAATATCCAAAAAGGTGAGAGAAATAACATTTGATTGTCAGGACATTGGAGGCTACAACTGTGAAACTTATACATAGGCCAATGTAGATTATAATACTAGAGGATTGCTTGCTCTGTGCAGTGTCCTAGTTTCTCTAGGCTCAGTACTTGTACTTTAAAATGGAAAAGATACTTTTCTTATTACTTTTACTATGTGTATGCCTAATGAATGATCATTTTCAAATTTAGTATTAACAATGAACAGTTGACAAAGTTCTGTGTTCAAAACCCAACGGATGATACTTCTGCATGAATAGCAACTGAATATATCTTTTAGCAATTCTTAGGTATACTTTTGAGCTTCTATCTGAAAAAATAATTTGATTAGAGACTCACCTGATGGAATAAAGTACATTTCCATTTTTGAAAATCCGCAACAATTTATTATCTGTTGTAACTTCATGAAAGTTGGCACCTTTTTCATTAGCAAAGAACAAATCAGGTTTCCAAATTGAATCCAGCATGGATGGATCTAAATCTAAAGAGTCATCTGGATATTCACTGTATGCAAGGCGTGGATCATTCCAATTCTGACGGAGAAAGATGTTCACTCGGTAATCCTGAACGAAAGAGAAAACAAGCAAAGGTTTATCAAGCATAGGGATTTAGCTTTTATTTCATTTCTTAGCCATGTAATCCCCTGTCCATCTGTGGATGACAACAGAATTACTTAGCTGAGTGCCAGAATGATACCTATTTATATTAGTGGGGACACAATGGATAAGAATATAGATGCATTTCAGGACAATTGAAAAAAATCCCAAGATAAGGAAATCCAACCTCCATGTGCAGTTCATAAAATTCCATATAACTCTACCCCCACCACAACTTTGTCTTGAAAGCAAAATGAGAAGCATAAGAGTTTTATGGAGTTACTTTTTTCTGCCCAGCTCCTGGCAGGGGCATTCCCACTTCCCTCTCTTTGTCAGTGAGAATCTGTCCCAGTGTAAGGGAAGTTAAATTAATTTCATTTTTCTCTCTCTAATCCTTACATATTTTAGAAGCCACTAGGCTTTCTCTGCCTCAGTCTTCTATTGAAAATTGACTGCACAGTAAGTTGCAATACAGCAGTCTGAGGACTGTTCTTCCTCTGTTCAAATACGATGGAGATCGTATAAGTCCTTATGAAAAATTAGCTTAGTTACAAGTGAAAGCACAAGCAATTCTGTCTTAATCAAGGGTTCTTTTATAGAGAAGATGAGTAGAGTGCTTCAATCTAGTGGAATTAATTTTGGAACTGCATATACTTTCTGTCAGAGACGTGTTTATTGCTGCACACATTCTTAAAACTTTACCACTCTGAAAAATGAAAATATTTGTTTTTAAATAAAATTGAATATTAGAATATCATTATGTTGTATTAAGAACTAAGACTGAGCATAAGGACATCGGAACTATACTTTTATTGGTCATAATATGATTTTTCTCATTATTTGAACTGCATCAATGAAAAAAGATAAAAAAGAAACGAAGACGTTAGCTGCAGCAGGGAAAGGGGGACTGGTTGTCAGACCTTACATGACATTTCTGAATATAATAGAAGTAAAACCATCACTTGTTTATGGTTAAAAAGGGAAATGAAAATTAATTTTATTAAGAATACTTTCTGAGTCAGAATGGGAAATAAAGTATGCAGGGCTGAGCAATACAGTTGGGCCAATAACTAAGGGTACTAGTTATTATAGGTTAGAATAACTAGTTAAAACCTCACTGGTGTAGAAATCCAGTGTTGTATCAATATTGATCCTAGGAAATTTGGAACATGCAGCCATGCAGTTGTGAGAATCAAGCCAACAGACATAATAAAGGACAACAGGAACCTCAATATGTAACATTTAGTCATGAGAAACAGTTTCTCATATATGCAGCATCCTGCTATTTTTGTCAATTTAATTACTCATCTTGAATAAGGGTAGTTAAATATGCAAAAAAATGCTTACGAAGCATTTGTTGCTTATAATGAAGAAATACTGCACATTATATAGAGAAAGTCCCAGCAGAGAATTTTATATTCACATAAGCTTATAAATTTCCAAGACAAAGAAATTAAGTGGAAAAATACACCTGGAGAATGAAATTAATTCAAATTACTGTTTTCAGGAGTTAGGAAAAAGACTCTCTGGCCAAATGGAAGCATGCAACATGAAATGCCATGTGGAAGAAACATAGGATTTGTTAATCAACTGTTCTAAAAAAAAAAAATAGTTAACTAATTTGTTAAACACATGCACTCCACTCTCTTTCAGGAAAGAACTCAAAGACATTTCCTTTCTTTTTCATCAGGGGTAATGACAGCCTCAAGAGCCATACAAAGTTCTTATGAGAAGCTGTTAGTATTTTTCATAATTAGCACCATGGCATAATGAAAACAGGGCCAGGGATTTGTACTTTATAGATGTGGAAATACGCTTCTGTATTTTGTTTGTTTCTAAAATAGGCCAAAATGCTAAGACAAGCTTGTGCTTCAGTGGTCATAGAACTGAATATTTGGTCTCTTCTAAAGAGGGCGCAATAACTACTGAAATACTCTTATTTCTTTGCATGATATTCCAAATACCATGTAGTACCAGTTCCCTTTCCAGATTCATGTATAAAATCAAAAGGACAGAAAGAAGCAGAATTTGGGAGCAGTGATGGCTCTCCTGCCTTTCTCAGCATGGGAAATCCTTGCACTAAGGAAACACTTGCTCTAAGCCTGAGTACTGGGTAGGAGCACTGCAGCTCTTGGGACTTTATCTGCACTTCAGCCTAACTCAAACTTTACATGTAATTTATATAACCTAAAGTATTTATATATATATATAAATACACATATATATATATTTATTTTTATATATTTATTTTATTTTTCTCAGTAGAATATGAAGAGTTTATGAATGGAATTACTTGTAGAGTAATCACGTGTAAAACAAAACAGGTGATAAATGCATAACGGAAAGTTGAAATGAAAAAGGAAAATGGAGGAAGACAAATGATGGAATCTTTTCAAGGCTATTCTATATATCAGTTTGAGTAAAGTTTATTGGTTTAAATTGTTTCCAGCTCTTAAAATCAAAAAAATCCTGGTTAAATTTGTCACTGAAGCAATTGAAGCTATTTTTCATTGTTCATTGAAAAGTCTGACTTAAATTGGCTCTCATTATTCATTAAAAAAATTCTAATCTATCAAAAGGAAAGAGATATATTTGACTGCTATCTTATAAAGGACAAGTATTCATCATCTCAGTTTATAATTACACATTATGAATACAAGGCTTAATTGTTTTAAACAAGTAGGGTTGTTTGATGCAAACACAGACACCAGAACCAAACTGCCTGAATTGACTTTTTTTCCTACAGAAGGTTCACTATTCTCATGTGCTAGTTGCCTGAAAGGGTGACTCGTAATTCAAATAACTGTGATGGGGATGTTCCCTGAAGGGAGAGAGAAATCATTTAAGTTGTAGTGACTTCCAAAGCCTTGTCTCTAACCTTAAGGCTGCCATTGTCTGAACAGCTGCTGTACTCTCATTCTACAGAACGAGACTGCTTATGGGTCTGCACTTGCTTCACCATACCTCAACACCCTTTAGTCACAGGGTGAACTTTCTTAGAGGCTTAGGATACTGTTCATCTGCTTCATAAGGCTCAATAAAATAAAATTTGGAGATCAGGTAATTAATCTTTGCTGCCAGTGCTGAGGCTGAGGCCATTATGGACTCCAGCACTAACATTTTGATTAGCAATTTGCAGCACATGGTGAAATCTGACAGAGAGTATATTTTGATTTCTACTTCATGATACTTGTACATATATAACTATACTACCTGATGCCTTAGAATTTTAGGATTTTTAGCTTTTAGTAGACTTTAATATAGCTAGAGTTTTCCTTCACTTTAGACTGTTACTTTCTCATAGTTTGTGTGCCACATTCCCAAAGCTTCGGTTTAACCATTTTTTAACTGTCTTTTCAAGGCAACAGATTTTAGTAAGAACATTCTGTTGGCGTATGCACCTCAACTGGAATAGCAAGACATACAGTACAGAAAACTAGATAGAAGGCTGAAGGCCCTTGGAGGTGCTTCAGTGGGGCAGTTCTGAGGGTAGTACCCAGGCAAAGGGGTCTTAGGATTGGATGTCCCCATTAGATATGAAAATTAGTAAAAGATATAAAAGTGTAAGAATTCTGTATGTGGTCATGCACCTTTGTACTTGATGGCCAGAACGCCTTCATGAAAAGAGCTGCTCTCTATCATATCTAATATTACCTGGAGAGTCCTTTTCTCCTAATTTTTTTAGGTAACATACAGAATATAGCTTTATGGAAACATTTGCACAAATCCTAAAGATATTAATTACCTAACTCTGTTTCTTCAACACATTTCAATATGCACTGTATCCTTATAGATCTGAGACAGAGATTCCAAAATATGCCTCTCATTTGAACATTGAATATCACCTGCTCTCGTAATTTTTGTATGCTGTTATTTGAATTGTCATCAAAATTTCATGCATAAATTAGAGAACTCTATCTGTTGCCATTCCTAATACTATTTTGACTAATTTTGACTAATATACCCTTCTAAGTGAAATCTACACTTGTCTTTTGCAGAATGTAGCCAAATGATTCTTCCTTCATTTATTATAGCTCGCTGTAAAATTTTAACAAGGAAATCTTACAGACTTCTGAAAAACACTGTTAAGAGTAAATGTAAGTCACTGTAAGCAATATTGTTCTTGTGGAGAACTCTTTTTTTAAAATCTATTGACTATGGCTCTTTCTTGTAATGAAAGGGTGTTCTCATTGTTGTACAAGGAAAGCTACTAAGTTATGGAACACATTAACGGTTTTAATTTTTACCAGTGAGATTTTCTAAAGTTACTGTCTCAATCTCTGACATGTTTTTATTGCTGTCTTGATCAGTATAATCAGACAGGATGCCCTGTGGCACAGTAGTACTTTGTGGTATTAACATCTTTCCATTTTAAATTTATTCACCAGTTTTAAGCACTATGGCTATGCTTTAGGAAACTAATTCTTTTGGGTAAATTGATGCAGTTTCTTAGTTTTCCTTTACATAGATGAAAATTTCAGACTGAATCAAAAGCTATTCAGGTAATTATTTCAATATGCCTTTGATGAAAGGTCTCTAGTATAGAAACTCAAATATTTAAATTTAAGTAAGCCACTCAAATTGACAAATCATTTTCCATGCAGGTTGCCAATGCCATTGCAAAATCAAAGCAGGAAAATCTTAAAATTCATGCTGACATTTGAAAGATACAACTACAGTTCATGTAATCTGAAGGATTCACTTGTATTTCCTCATGCTTAATACTTGGAATTCAATTGTTACTGATATTATTTATGGTGAGGACTCATCTCTAGTCATGCCTATTCCAAACAATATGCAGAAGAAGCTGCAGAAAAGGATAATACAGGAGTGGACAGGTTAGCCAGTTCTGTGGGAGTAGACAGGAAAAGTTGAATTTCCTTAAACTGATAATGCAAAGGACTCGTATTATGACTTAACTGATTACCTGATATCCACTTGTAAATATATTAAAAGGTAAATACTAG